CCGTGTACAACAAGGACATGCTACCCTGAACTCGAGAAAATAGTACAGCAACAACGGCGCAAAATGTAATGTACATACAGTACACTTGGAGATACTACATGGCAGTGCCTTATTACGCGTACGCCGTCGGGAGGCGGGGGGGCTGTCTACTCTTGTCAATAAGGTCCTGGGTAAGCTGCAGACAAACCGTGAGAAAGAATTGACGGATATTGCCGACTTGAAATGATACGGAATGACCTGGGGGCTTTTCATGGTCAGGCACTTAAGCAGACACTACCAAGGTACCCGCACGCCTGATTTGATACTGATGTTTCCTTTCTCTGCAGCCACTTCGTGTGCGATGACTGAATGTTGCTGGAGAACTCTTTAGTTCCGGTTTTTCATACAAATCAAGATTCCATCCTCATGTCTTGCTAAATTCCAACTGGATTCTAGTACTTTAAGTTGTGCAGAACGGAAACTTGCACAGTCGCATGGAGACCCTCAATCATTGATGATATTCTTTAGGCAATAAAGCTATTCGGCGTACGTTCTCGATGACTATGGTTACAGGAAACAGGCTCGAAATTCTGAGGATCAATTGCTCCGCCATGTCAAGACTTGTATCTTCCGTCCAGTAGTCGGGCACTGCTGTACGCGATAGTTGCGGTAGCGTCTCACAATCACGTTATTCCTCCCGCTGCCCCGCTATGTCGCGATGTGTGCGCCCAACAGATCCCCTCCCTCTCGATCGTGATAGCTGGGCGCCATGGACCCTCAGTACATTCGAGGGCTTTGGAAATCATATCCGATTCTTGGCAGGGATCAATTGGTGCAATCCTCAATTGTACAGGAACAAGTTGTGGCTGATACTCTGGGAGTATAAGAGGACACCCTTCTCAGCTCAATGAACATCAGCCTCTCAGTTCTACAGATTCCCTACAACAGCTTCCTCTCAACAACCTCTCATTCGAGTTTTTTTCTACATTTGACCAAGGATGTTAAACCCCATCAACTTCGTCGATTTACTTCTCTCGTTTCGCACTTTTGTTTTTGCTTCAGCGCTTGCGACTGTCTTTGTCTATCTCCAATCCTTGAAGGAATTTATCTTTGGCCGGAAGCTGGTTGACACCAATGGGAATTCTATTCCTCCCGGGCCTGTCGGTCTACCTGTAGTTGGTGAGGGTTTCTTTTCGAGACTGACCGAGCTGTAATTCACGATGGCATGACAAAGGATCATTCCCGTTCCTTACACACTATCCTGAACTCACTCTCGATTACTGGGCCAAGAGATTTGGCCCCCTTTACTCGTTGAAACTCGGTAACCAACTCTTCATGATCATCTCCGACCCACAAATTGTCAAGGTCAATTGAAAACCTCAGTTCTCAGTCTATGTTGCTCACGCTAAAGTTTTCACACCCGCTAGGATCTCATGGTCGTTAATGGAGCTATCTTTTCATCCCGCAAAGAGATGCACTTGAAATCCAAGATTATCTTTGCCGGTAGAGGAATTACGGCCACGGTCGGTCTTCCTTCTCTCTGTCCCAATTTCAAGAGCTAACGCGCGCATCACACTGGTATAGCCTTATAACGACCGATGGAGGAAGCACCGTCGTATTGCTTCCACCTCGCTCGTCTCTCGTGCTGTCGATGGTTATAACCATGTCCTCGATTACGAAGCTACAGTTCTCATCAAGGACTTGATGCGTCATGGGAATCTCGGCAAGTCTCCCGTCAACCCTCGTAAGTTAATGTTCTCGCTCTCCTCTTCGTAGGTTATCAACTCAACCTACTCTTGCAGAGCCGCACGCTGGACGATGCAGTTTGAACAATATGTTGACGGTCGCATTTGGCATGCGCACTGACACAATCGAACACCCATTGGTCGCCAAGGCTCTCAGACTCTCTCGAGAATTCATGAACTGCACTGGACCGTTGTCCAACTTGACTGATTTCGTTCCCCTCCTCCAGAAGGTCCCCGGAAACTACATGATTAGCAGGGCGCAGCAACTTCACAAGGATTTGGTCGATACTTACGGTGGAATGATTTTGGAGATTGAGGCTCGTATGAACGCCGGAGAGAAGGTTCCTGATTGTTTGGTCAAGCATCTCCTTGAGATCAAGGAAGAAGAAAAACTTGACCACCTCGATATGGCTATTCTCTGCTCCGCGTTCATGATCGGTGGCGTCGAAACGGTGAGCGTGATATTCACACAACTTTCATGACTTCCTCCAAGCTCATCGAGTATCTGCAGACCGCATCTATCATGCAGTGGTTCTCAGCTTTGATCCCCGCCTACCCCGAAATCCAGAAGAAAGCTCAAGAAGAGCTCGACCGCGTAGTCGGCCGTGACCGTCTTCCAACTATCGAAGACGAGAAGAATCTTCCATACATCCACGCGATCATCAAAGAAGTCGAACGTTGCCACAACCCATTCTGGCTCGGGACTCCCCACGTTAACAATGCTGATTTCACCTACCGTGGACAATTCATTCCCAAGAACACCGTTCTCGTTTTGAACACTTATACCATGCACCACGATCCTGCTAGGCACCCAGAGCCTATGAAATTCAACCCGGAGCGGTATGTAAAGGACTCTACGCTCTCTTCCGAGTCTGCCAACCTTGCGAATCCGTATGAACGTGACCACTGGATGTTCGGTGTTGGGTGAGTGGTATTTCCTCGAATGCTCTCATAAAAGTTGGCCTTAAAGCCATTATCTTCCTTTCTAGCCGTCGTATCTGCCCGGGAATGTGGGTCGCAGAACGTGAAATCTTCCTGGTCATTGCCCGACTACTCTGGGCATTCGACATGAAGGAAATACCGGGTGAGCCTATCGATTTGAAGGAATACGATGGTCTTTCAGGTCGTTCGCCCGTTCCCTTCCGCATCAAGATGGTCCCTCGTCATGATAAAGTCATCGAGGTATTGGACCGCAGTTAAACGAGTTACTGAAAACAACCCGTAGAATCGGTTTTAGAATTTACCTAAAAGTTTCTGTATACTTAGCTAGACTACATGTATATTTACTACTACACATTCATTTTTACTTTTGTTTTGTATCCCTGGAATTAATAGGATTCGCTCGTATTTCCTTCATTTCACAAAATTGCACATTGATGACTCGGATCAACAGGCAACTCAAACAACGAAGCATAAAAGCTTGTGTATATCGTTCCTTCAAATTTTGACCTGGCTGACGAGCTCAGTTGTTTAGAGCGTCGTGCTGATATCATTCGACAGAGGTTTCGGTCTTGGGTGTGACTCCCACGTTGGCCATAATGCTGATCCACTGAAGGATTTAATGGACCCTCCATTTGGAGTGAGGACGTCACTTCATATGTTTTCACCTCAGTGAGCAATGGAACATGGCTCTGTTAAAAGAGAAAAATTTCGAGTCAAATTTGCCTAAAAAAGCAAACGCAAGACAGGCGAGCGCAAAAAAACGAGTTTAGCTCTTAGCCCTGGTTCAGCGTGGTAATCGTCGAGCTCAGCAATAAACGTCCCTAAGATTCAAAAACCCCTGTAGGACCCTAGATGCAAAGCAGGTTAATCAATGACAGCTTCACATGAGCATACCATGAGCTTTTATGCGTGCCATAAATTTTTTTACACGCCGACGGTACGTGAAGAAGTGGCAGTTCGGGAAAGCCACATGGACCGATTGCGACCCAAAGCCAGGTTTAGGCGCTGGTCTCTAGGGACCATAGACCAGATCACGCAAATCACATGCTCGTGACGAATGTAACATCCACGACCCGTCACACCGACCAGACCTTTGTATCCTCGCGACTTTCATCAACCCTCTTCTCCACGTCAACCTCCTCCAAACCTTCGTTTCCAAGTCCCGCTAACAACCTAATATCCCTCTTTACTCGCGGAAACACAGAAATGTACGGCTCCTCAGCAGCCCAAAAAGCCAAGCGTCGTACCCATACCCGACCTGAACTAACAGAAGACCAAAAACAAGAAATCAAGGAAGCCTTTGAGCTTTTTGATACGGATAAGGATGGGAGGGTTGATTATCACGAGTTGAAAGTCGCTATGAGGGCTTTGGGGTTTGATTTGAAGAAGGCGGAGGTGCTGAAGTTGTTGAGGGATAACGATAAGACGGGTCAAGGGTTTATGAACTTTGAGGATTTTGCGATGGCTAGTGAGTGATTTTGGTCTGATTTGGATACCTTTTTCTTCTTCAATTTCGTTTTAAAATAGTTTGTTTGAGTTTTCTTTTTACTTGGTTTTCTGCGCGTGGATGGCATTTTTCACGCGAGCTTTTTCGTTCTCTCACCCACATTTCTTTGGCCGCGTACTGACAACGGTCCCTAGTGAGCGAAAGAATACTAGCACGGGATCCAAATGAAGAAATACGACGCGCTTTTCATCTATTCGATGATGACAACACCGGTAAAATCAGCTTGAAGAATCTCCGTCGAGTCGCCAAGGAGATCGGGGATAGATTAGAGGAAGATGAGTTGTACGTGTGCCCGCTGTTTGTTCACACATCCCGCCAGGATCTCTTACGATTCTCCCTCACTTGTAGACAAGCAATGATAGACGAATTCGACCTCGACCAAGATGGCGAGATAAACGAGCAAGAGTTTTTCGCGATAATGGCGGATGAGACGTAGTGGTGATTTATGGGTTTTTTTCTCGTCATTTACCGCTTGCTTTTTGCTATCGTTCTCTTCCAGTACGTCTTTATCAAAAATCTACTCGATGGCAGTCGCTAACGCGTCCGTTGCAGTTTATGTTTCTCGCTCTCTACTACACATCACCTGTCCTGTATCTTTGTATCAGTATTACATCCCAGCCACTACCAATGTTTCAGGAGACGTCGCATGTCTACTTAGTAGAATATCGATTGGCTAAGGGTCTGTGCTGCATCCGAAGCTTCTGGAGGGTTGAATGTAGTCAAAGCACCCAAGAATACAATTTCCAGGGTGAAATGACCAAACTGATGCTTCGACGTGCTGTAATTAACCTGAAAGGTAAAAAAAAAGAAGTTTCTATATCTTCCAGTGGCCAACGTGGGGATCGAACCCAAGACCTTCGCGTTAATAGGATCATAGCTCTTATTAGCACGACGCTCTAACCAACTGAGCTAGTCGGCCTTCCAACTTTTTCACATAATTCTCTATGCCTATCGTTCCCGTCTCTGTTCTTCCTCTTACCATGTTTCAGAACCACCAATCCCAACTCGAAGAACTCCAATTAATAACCTGCTCACTTCTCCCCGGTGAATTATTCACCTTCTCAGAACACTGCGAAGCCCAGTGGTCAGAACTTCTCTCCACCTACATTCAGGATCCCGATCACATCGACTCTAATAGCCTTTCAAGCCTTCCACCAGCGTGTTTTCACGTCTCCCTCGAAACCTGGAACATATGGTTTCAAGTTGAATTACCTCCCCGGTACCCGGAAGATGGAGTTCGACCGATAATCACTGTTAAAGGAGAGAATATATCTCGTAAAGAACAGGAGACGTGGAACTCGGTTGTGGAGGAGAAGGTGGACGAGGTTTTGGAGGATGGTAGTGGGTTAGTATTATGATTTTTTCGCTAATTGGGTCCTGAATCTGATGGGGATTTCTTCTACTTAGCTATCCGGTCTACGAACTACTTTGTTCCCATCTTATGCCAATGTTACACGAACACGCGGAAGCTGAAGTCGAGAAATTCAGAACTGCCACGAGTGCTACAGGAGAGACAACTTCTTTGGAGTCACAGGACGTAGTCGGAACCTCATCTGCCAGACAGTATCAGGAGCTCTATCATGCCCTATTCACGTCCCATCACCTCGTCTCTCCAACGAAACGGCGAAACCTTCAAAACTGGTCTTCCTCTCTTTCTCTATCCGGTTTCGCAAAAGTCGGATATCCAGGTATTATCTACGCAGAAGGAGAGAAGGAAAATATCGAGGAGTTTGTAGGGAATGTTAAGGGGATGCAGTGGTTAGCTTTGAGATTGAGGTTTTTGGAACCCTTAGGCGACGTCGAGTCCGAGGATGGGCCCGGGAAGGAGAAACGTCAGCATACGAAGAACGACAGGAGCCACGATCTGGAAAGACGTTGGGGAGAGTTTACGAAAATTGGAGAAGTGATGGAGGAGATGAGGAGGATTGGGAGGGAGAGATATCTCGTTGAGATGGGCATTGGAAGTTCGAGTTCGGGTTCGACTCGTTGACTTCATGCTATAATCTTTGGAGAACCGGCTGGAGAAGCTCTCCGAAATTGGGGTAGGGATGGAAGAGATGCATCGGATCCTTAAGGAGCGGTATCGCAATACCGATCTCAATGAAAAGCTCGGGTGTCAAACCGCTGTGCTCGCACTCGTCCATCACACAGGTGATTATTTCTCAGTTTGAGACCGCCCCCTCTCCTTCTGGTTTTTTTCTGGCATGCATGCTATCATGTGCAGAGCTGGTTGACGTACTCGACCCGATTCATCCTCCCCACCTTCCTCTTTCTCCTCCAACACCATCATCAAAGGAACTCCTTGCATACATCGCTATGTACAGAAGAAGATACTGCAGAAGGAGCGACTTCACCTCTATCCTTTATGTTCCCCAGCGGGGACCCCTTATACGGAACAAAAGTTCGAGTAAAAGGCCCCAAACACTTGGATCAAGATCAAGATATGAAAGAGGCCCAGGGAGTTCTCAAAGATTGGGGTAATGAAGGAGGAGGTGCAACAGATCCTGAGGGAGCGGCTTTTCAACGGGAACTTCCTGTATTGTAGTTTGGGTTTGGGTTCGACCTATAGACCGAAAGTATGAAACTCTCTTATTGGTTTCTTGCTTTGTCCTTACCCATTGATACACCCTATATATTCAGCGTGATCTCAGTGCTATTTGGATTCACAGAAAGAAAACATAATCGCCCTGGCACCTGTCCTCGTCAATGTTCACTCTCAGTGTCCCTGCCAAAGACATCCTTACGCACTCCACCTGCCGAGTTCTATATCAGAAGATGATCTCAAGGATGCTATTTCGATGCGCGTATACTTCTGGTATACCGTTCCTCGTACCTACGTGCCTCTCATGCTTCACGAACGTTGGCATTTTACTTTTGGTTAGAGAGTTACGAGTGGGAAGCTGACTTCCCTTCACAGCTTACCCTCGGCGTGCATGAGTCACATGCAAATTCTTGGATTTCATGTTCTTCCACTACGGCCCCCGCGAAACGTAGCGTTCAAGAAGACATTACGGGTTCTCTGAGACCTCGAGCGATAACTCCCTTGTCCACTTGTCTGGGCTGCTGAGTCGAATGTGTTCGACTGTCACCTCTCTTCTTTTCTGGCCGTAACGTTCTTTTTTTTGCAGTCATACCTCTGGAGCTACACAAACTTCACTGATCTTTGCCAGAGCGATTACTACACTGGTGCAGTCCCGATTATCGAACTTCAATTTGCAAAGCAAGGGCGGCGTGGCTAAATGTATTGTTTGATGGGAGAACGCACTTGTAAAAAACCGATCCATCCGACTTTTTGAGTGAATTTGGTACGTAGTATATTGGTGTAAAGTGTGATTGTGTTGGTACATTTACGAGATGAAAGTATGTATACATTTAGATGTCTATTCAAGGCTTTCACATGGCCCGACTTGTGTGTCACTAAAACTACAATAGCGGGACCAGTTTGTACTGGTGTACCTATCAGTCAATATCCGCGCGGGTGATCGTGTATTTGGGTGGGGTATGCGCCTCTTTGCAATAGCGGAATAGAATCCCCGACACAATTTATCCAATGATCTGGAGCCGCCTATGGAGCGATAACGCGATTATCACCGACACTGCATAAGAGTCGTCATATCTTGACCTAAGTAAATACACGGTTTCGCAGTCAGCACGCCATGATCACCAACTAAAAAAAAGAGTAACATACCCGGATAGAAGAAGAACGTCACGGCAATAAGAGCGTATAGTGCTAGAAGTCTACGATCAGAGGGATACAAACGCGCTATAAAAGAAGACATACACGACAACAAGAACCCCTCTAACCAGTTCGATTTACCATCTTGAACGACGTAGTTGACGATCAGAACTATTTTCCGGAGGCAGATTTTAGGTGTCGATTATGGTCGGTTGTGGCGGGCGAGACAAGACTCACCAGAGAAAAAGAGGGTAATAGACTCGTAAGAGTCAAATAGGAGCGTTAACGGTTTCCCTATGATCCATCCCAGGAGGACTAGGAACCTGACATGGCGGTTGAAAGTGGTCAGAATCGAGCCGATGGTTCAACCGAAAACGATTTAGAGACGAACGGGGTCATGAATAACGCGCTTTGCTGCAACGGAGAATCAGAAAATGCTTCTTGTGTCATAGTAAATATAACCCCACGTACTATGCTCGACCCAACCGCAATCGCAATACTCAGATCAAGTTTATCTTTCCTCGCCATCGAGACAGCAGTAAACAAATCTGAAGGATCACAACTCCTTGTCAGCACGGTTTTCAACACTCGAACTCCCCAGAAACCTCACCTCCGATATTCCCAACAACAGAGAGCAGAACTATCCCAACGAATTCCGTGCCCAGATGTCCCTTGTCCACGATCTCATCTACAGCGTCCACCAGCCACTCCGCGGTAACAGATACAACCTGTTTTAGGGGGTGAGTTAGCTTGCGCCGGAGCAACAACCGAGAGACCGAGACGAACTATCGTGACAGCTACTAGTGAGCTCACTAGGACCCAAAGGTTGAGGCGCAGTACAGTCTCGTCTTCGTCCTTCACAGAGTCCTTTTCTCGACTTGAGGTGGTATCGGCAGCTTCCAGGTCTACGTCCTTTGCGTGCATTGACCGGATATAGGTACTAGCGCTGACGAATTCTTTCGAAATGCTCTGTTCTGTGGCCTCTGTTGGATACATTCTGGCCTTTATCATATCAGTTCCACCGTTACAGGTGTATAACGCTGTGTGTGAGTAGAGCTGGAAAACCATAAATGCTAAGTAAACTGAAGCACTACCATCAATGACACGTTTCTACTGCCAGATTGCGTGACTCACTACAAAGCAGTATCAACGCCGCCTGAGCGAACGAGGAAGATCATAATCAACGAATGACGGGTACTGTATGAAGAACCCGAAGCTCACCCCGTAGCTGAGTCTGAGAATAGCATCTCCATCCGAGGGTGGTCTAGTGGTGGAACCAGTCGAAATCGATAAATGATATGCGGTGGGTAAAAGGACAGCCACAACGCTTATTGCCAGAAGCGAGGAGTTCATCTGAGATACACCTAAGTAAACATGTCCTTGTTCAGTTTCGTGATCGTCCACATGTCAAAATCGATACATACTAGAGGCGAAGGTTTGTTCGGAGAACTTGATGCCACCAGCAATGAAAGAAACTCCTAGAACCAGAACTTTTATACGACAATCAGCATCATGCCCTTCATAAACCTTGAAAGACCTGACGTACGTAGGTCTCCCAAGATCGCACCAATCACTGCGGACAAGACGTGAGACATCACGCGCAACCTTCATAGAACAAAGGACTCACAAGTTGCTTGGACAAGACGGATCTGGCATCGTCGTAACGCAACCACCTGCAAGGCATAATTATCAATATCCTTTCGGGAAGGAGTACTAGATACGCCATGGGCCTCACACTGATGATAAGTTCGACCCTATCTCAAAAGTCATTCAATACAATCTTGCAGGCGAGAAGTGGTCAAAACAACGCACGCATTGCCCTACATCTACGCGTCAACGGGATCAAGGCAAGAACATACAACGGCGGCGACATACCAAAGTGACATTGAGGAGCCCTGCAATTGTTTGTCCAACGCGAAATGAAAGTCGATCCGTAAGAAACGAAAGAAGCTGGAAGTCGAAATCTTTTCAGAACGGTCTCAGCTGTTGGAACACGGCTATCCTACCTTTGCGAGAGGTATCATGGCCAAGAGCGAGCCTGGATGTGCCGCGGGTCAAAGTCAGCGGTTATAGAGAATGAAAGACATACACGTAAAGGTGACCAGGTCGCTGACGCTCGATGCGAAATGGAGAGCCCACTGAGCAACGTCCTTGGTCAGATGGGAGGTAAATAGAGGGAACCAAGTCACTCGTACTGAGATGGGAACGAAGATGAGCAGAAGGTTGAACCCTGTGATGAGTTC